GTGATGAACATTAAAGTAACCAACTACAACGATATTGGTTGAAGAATAAAGAATCAAGAAATTTATCCTTCAAACAAGGATATTAGCTGAAGGATAAATTTCTTATCAAATTGACTAGAGCCCTCTCGGTTTAATCAATTCGATTAGAAATAACATTAAAAAGAATGCAGATTTAAGATGAAGGAGAGAAATATAGAACAAATAGAAAGGTAATAAAGTATAGTGGTGCTAAAAGAAGGCACATAAAAAAATAGTCTGGTAATTAAACTTTGCAAAAAATGACTCAACAGAAAAAAAGTTACTTCAAAGACCACGAATATTAGTGAATAATATATTTAGAGAACTTGGTGATGACAATGGTTTTTTGTGTTTTATAGTTTTAGGTACTTTAGTCATTTTATAATTTGTTAAAGAACTTGACTTAAAGCACAGATAGTACTCATTTATTAAGTAAGAATATAAATAACTTTATTAAAATACTGAAGGTTGATCAGGCTATAACACAGGACTGCAAACGCTGACTAATATTCCTTTTTTTAAGTTTTTTTAAACTTATTTAATAAAGTAGCATTGTTGCCTTCAACATATCTTAACCTCTCTCCCCCTTCCCCCTCTCCCTTGTCAACAATTGTCAAAAAGTTTCAGACCCCCTTCCCCCTATTTTGTTGAGGAGTAAGGTGGTAACTTATGATTTCCCTTAAGGAAAATGCTATTTCGCGGTGCTTTGTGATAAGACTTTTAAAACTTATTAAAACAACTAAATACCTTCTAATAAAAAATCAGAGAATCTTTTGCTCTTATTTTTTCCTTTATGTTTTTAGATCGAGGCATGAGCTTAAACTGCAAATTTTAAATATACGTTTTTTTATTTGAGTCTTGGAACATTTTATTCTGTACACAAGTGACAGCAATTTTTTTTTAATTTACTCAATATAACAAATATAAGCAGGAAAAAGTTTCAATCATTCCATTCTTAGTAGAAACTGAAAGGAAAATAAAAAAGTTTCTTTTGCTCTGAAAACGTGGAACATAAGAGTGAATTAATATTTCCACTTAACTTCTTAAAAAGCATAGGTTAGTAACATTTTTGTGATTTTGCTTCTGCATATAAGTTTTGCTATTAAACTGGTTTTTTGTTGGTACAATAAAATCGTAAATACATTGTACAGTATTCCAAGAAGACGAGTTTGAGGTCAGTTTGAGCCTTATGTAAACTTTAACTACTTGATTGAGGGTTTCAAGATTTTGAAGTTTTTTTTTCATATTTTGAACTATGCGTTTTTGGTACTTTGGTTGAAAATCTAATGCTTATAGTCAAACACGTTCATGGCAGTTCTAAAAGCATTTGTCTTTTAACAGAGTTAAAATGACTCAATTTCTTTAATGAAGTTGGGTCTTTTTAATTCAGTTTTTATCACTATTATATGTAATTCAGTAACATATGTAGCCAATAAAGCGTCTACTAAATGCTGCACGCTGCATTCACTGTAAAGGCAGGTCAAAACAGCAAACAGCAGCATTTTTAAAATACTTTTTTTGTATTCCGAATTTTAATACATCTTTTTTTATCTTCTCCATTGTACCTAACAATCTAAAAGATCTATTTTTTTTTTTCAAGTTTGAAAAAAAGTTTGTTTTTTTTAAATCTCCTTTACATACAATTATGTATGCAAACTTTAACATACATCGTTCCAAACTTTATAATAAAACATTAAAGCAGACTAAGCATTTAAATTACTTGATGTGACGTTAGTCCAACATTTGACATTTAAAAACTAAGATGTTTCTGAATAAAAATCCAGATTGGATGTAATAAACTGTGCAGCTTCCAGGTTACCACAAGAATTACTAAAGATGGCTTACAATTCCGTTATAAGAGGCCACACGGAATATGCTAGCATAATATATACAATCAGATGTAATCAAAAAAAAAAAAAAAATGCAGCAATAGCTATATGCCTTACTCCTCAAAATGCTAATGCAGATCTTCTTATTAAATTGCTTAAATGGAACTAAATTAAATTCTCTAAAAAAGAAAAAATAGGCATATCTCCACAGTGGTAAGATAATGAAATTTATTATAGTTATATAGATGTAAACTTGCCTTGTGAAAAAAGTTTCTGTATTAAAGGAGCTTACTTCCATAATGATAAATATTTTTCATATTTTTTGATGGAGTTATTTCAGTTTCTTCAAAAGTGAACTCAGAAAGATAACGTTATCAGCTCATTCTAGAATCTTTCCCAGAGCGTTAAAGGGAACAAGAAGGTTTGTCAAATTCTTGATTCATTTTGGTGTGGTGTGAAAATGTCTCAAAATCAGAATGTCGCAATTACTTATTGGCACATTTTTTGATTTGGTAGGGTGGAGTGGTGCGGTCACATTTGTTAACTTCACAAAGAAGTCTCAAGGCTTTACTCATAATTTTATCTGTTTAAATAGTTAGTCTCGCTGTTTCTACAAACTCAATTTGGATAAAAACTTATGTTCAAACTGATATCGCGAATTCATATTGCATTTAAATCACTTTTGATTCATCAGAAAGATATCTATCTCCAGTTTTTGAAATCGATCTCCTATATTCAAAATCTATTACCTAGTTTCAAAATAAATTCTTGTACTTTACAGGGGCCTTTTAAAGCAAACAAAATAGAGTTTAATATTTTTATGATAAGATAATTTAATTTTAAAAATTAATACTTTTACAAATCGTTGTAATTTAATTCTATTATCAGACAATTTTAAATATTTATTAAGACTTATTTGTCTGAATATTTGCGTATTTGTTTCAATTGTTTTAAATTAGCTTTAAAACAATAAACAGTTGATGTATGGCACACACCAGATGATATGAAAACTGAAACAAAAGTACTCTCAAAAAATGCCCCCAGTAACTCTCTGCTTGAGTTTAAATAATTTTTGGAAAAAAATTGTTTTACTTAAAATTGTTGCGATTAAAAGATATAAAGTTTATTTTTGGAAAGTTTCATATTTTTATGTAAAATAAGCAAAGTAAAAGTATACGCAACCATGTAACTTCTTTACAAAAGCATGTTACGTATTTAATTATATAAATGCATGTAACGTATTTACAAATGCATGTAACGTATTTACAAAAGCATGTAACGTATTTACAAATGCATGTTACGTATTTACAAATGCATGTTACGTATTTACAAATGCATGTTACGTATTTACAAAAATTAAAACTTTACAGAAGTTTTCTCAGATTTTAGTTATTTTATAAAATGCTTTTTTAGATGAATCACGGCAGAAAATGCGTTCCTAGACTTTTCTTTAATGAAACTTTCAACAACGTAATAATTTCTTATCGACATGGAATTTATGTTTGAAAAAAATAAAAAACCGATACTATTTCAACAATTTATATTAAAAGAAAATTTGACGACGAACGCAACGAATTATTAAAAACGATTAAACAAAAAATTTAAATTGTATTTCATATTCAATTTAACAAGGATTGTTTAAACTCTATAGTTTCGTTGTGGTCATTTTGCATTTACTCGTTAAAATATAGTTAAAAAAGTTTTTTTCTGCTAATTTACATGTTTTATTTAAATAAAACATTTCTTGGTTTTTGAAGAGCATCAAATGATAAAATATCAGTTAACGTAAGAAGTTGCACAAAAAATGTCAAATTAAAAAAAGCCAAAACAGCGTCGGTGTATAATAACTTTTTCAAATTAAAAAAAAAGTGTATATATATGTATATGTATATATATATATATATATATATATATATATATATATATATATATATATATATATATATATATATATATATATATATATATATATATATATATATATATATATATATATATATATATATATATATATATATATATATATATATATATATATATATATATATATATATATATATATATGTATATATATATATATATATATATATATATATATATATATATATATATATATATATATATATATATATATATATATATACATATATATATATATATATATATATATATACATATATATATATATATATATATATATATATATATATATATATATATACATATATATATAATATATATATATATATATATATAAATATATATATATACATATATATATATATACATATATATATATATATATATATATATATATATATATATATATATATATATATATATATATATATATATATATATATATATATATATATATATATATATATATATATATATATATACATACACATATATATACACTTTTTTTTTAATTTGAAAAAGTTATATATTAATATACTATGCCTATTAGAAAAATTTGAAGTTATATATGATAGCCAAGAATGTTTATTACATAGAAATCTGAATTGATATCTAAATGAAAATAAAATTTCTCTTGAAAATCTATAAAAACACGCAAGCTAATAATATAACAACGTATGCATACATACAAACATATATACAAACAAACATAAATACATATATATATGCATACAAACAAACATACATACAAACATACATACAAACATACATAAATACAAACATACATAAATACAAACATACATAAATACATACATATATACATACATACATACATACATACATACATACATACATACATACATACATACATACATACATACATACATACATACATACATACATACATACATACATACATACATACATACATACATACATACATACATACATACATACATACATACATACATACATACATACATACATACATACATACATACATACATACATACATACATACATACATACATACATACATACATACATACATACATACATACATACATACATACATACATACATACATACATACATACATACATACATACATATATATATATATATATATATATATATATATATATATATATATATATATATATATATATATATATATATATATTTATAGATATATTTATAGATATATGTATATACATTAGTTTAATGTTTTAGATTAGCGTAATCATAACTCAGTTATACGGAGACGTTTACGGTAAGATATTTATTAATAAAACAAAGGAGTTTATACGGTATTGGAATTTAATATATTTAATATATAGGAATTTAAGATAAAGCAAGTTGTCAAGCATGCGTTTGACAATTTGCTTTATCAAACATTATCATCACTTTCATCGTTTTATCAATCATTATTATCACTTACATCGTTTTTTTTTGAGTGGGGAGGGGGGTGCGAGAGGGGTGGGTTAGGTCTCAAAAGCCTCAATCTTGTCTCAGTTTGATATTTTCGTTTAATTGAATACTATTAAGATAATTGAAATTATTACAATAATCCTAAAAATAGTTTGATACCATATGAAATTTTGTTCAAAAACACAGAAAACAAAAGATATTATAGCTGATTGGAATAAAAGCCTTTCTATTTGACAAGCAAATTTAACGCCCGCGATTTCTCCCGTCAAATGAAAAGGAATTTAGTTTAAGCTAGTCAATCCACTCAAAACGATTGTTGTGATTGATGTCTTTAACCAAGTTTTATCCGAAAATTCTGTTAATGCAAAAACGGAAACTTTTTTACCTGAATTGTTTACAACCTTTTCGAAAAATTATTATAAACACTCTTAATTAAATAAAACACGCTTCGTATAGTATATAGAGCTATTTGCAGTTACGATTGAACTGTACATACAGAGAGTGTCTATTTACAGTTACGATTGCATAACTGTACAATCTAACATAAAATATATAAGTAGCACAATTGCAAAATATAATTTCAAAAACATTTGCAATAAAACTAAAATAAATGATTATACAACATTTACACATTTTTATGTACTGAAAATTATCTATTAGGACTAAAAAAAACTGGCTCACTGCTATTTGTGATGGTAAGTTTTATAACTCCCTACTGTTTTATTTTGTAAACAAACAATATCAAATAAATTTAAAGCAAAAGCTTCTGTATTAATTAAACGTTAATTAGATTTTTGCCCTTGTTATACAGGTATGTAATCTTCAAATTATTATATTGTTGTTAATGCTAGCCTTTAGAAAACTAACGACTAAATACAGTCTTATTGTTGTAAATAATAACATTAAAGTCTATAGATATCAACAACAATAAAATATGCATATAGTTCTCTTTTTTGCTCTTCAGCAGCATGAGACTATCCAATATTTCATCATTCATTGTTGTTCTCAGATGTGATTTTAAAATCTTGAGTTGACTCAGTGCCTGATAAAGAAGAGGAAGGAGCTAGGGAGCCCAGCAAATTTAGGGACCCCCAAAAATTTTAGGACTTTTTTTTTATAGTCATTTTTAGGCTCTGGCCCATATAAAAGGCCTCCGAAAACAAAAAAAGCCCCGGGCCCAGAAAAGTCTTAATCCGCCACCAAGTTGACTGAAAGAACGCTTGTTTGATGCTACTCCATATTCAGCTGTGAATGAAGAATGCATAGATTATGGGCTGGTTTGACACTGTCCTTAATTTTCACAGCACGGTAAAAAAAGTCTTGCAGCGTCTTAGCTAGTATTCATGATGACTTAAAATCTTCCTCATCTTTTTCGAAACGGACGTTTAACAAAATTTCCATCTGACTTTTAAGCACATGAAGGTATAAATTTTGACCCTTGTAGGTCTTCTATGTTTAGAGAAGGTTATTGAGCTTTTCTAAAGAAGATCAATAACTTTCTCTAAATAGTGGTTTAGAGTGTTGACAGACTTTGCATGTGTGGTCTGTCTTGTCCTAGGCGCTTTCATCAGTTGTATGCTTTTAAATTTTCCAGAAATTGAACTCGCGTAATCGTGAGACTGAAAGGCCATCTTTGATAAGTTAATACCTTCTTTATGTAAAGAAAATAAAATTAGCTCAGCCAACACTTTGCCAATTTTATTTGTGCAATCACACCGTTTTCACTGGCCAATCTCAAAACTATACTCATTATGTCCTTGAGTGACATATTGGGAGTAGTGTCAGTTGCCAAAAAAAAAATTAGAGCTATTAATTTCATCAATGACCTGGGTCTATAATTCAGTTACAATTAAACTAATTATTTCATTTGAGACAGAAATAGCTTTTGTCTGGGAGACAGAAGCCATTGAAGGCAGCCTCCAATGGCTTCTGTCTCCCTGACAAAAGCTAATGTCTGAAAGACAGAAAAATTTCTTCTGGAGGCGGCCACCATTGGCTTCCACCTCTCTTTTGACATCGGCCTCCAAAACATTTTGCCTCGAAAAAAAAACTGACTGTGGCCGCCAATAAAAAAGCGGAAGCTTCTATAGGCGGAATAAAGAGGTTTTCGCCGCTCAAAATTAATTGGGATACAGCCTCTGTCTACTGCGGAAGAAAAGTGGAGACGAGAATATTTACGCCCTTTATCAACACTGCATAAAATGATTGTTCCGCGTGCTTTATGAGTACCTTGTGCATACCAAAGCCTCTTGACGTTTTGTCAACTCAACACAATTCAAAAAAAAACGTTATTCAACATTTTGTATATTCGTCCTTGCCATTTTAGGTTGTTATTTTTTACCTTCTCCACGCGTTACAACTGGTGACCTTCTTTGAGCTTTTCAACATTGTGAAGATGGATAAATTATAAGAGAAAACGAGTCACAATCTGTTTTCAGATTGCAACTCGTTTTCTCTTGTAACTTCTTCATCTTCTTTTGTTCCGGGTTTTTAACAGTTCATATTTTTTCATTTTTATTTTTTTGTTCATATTTTTGCTTTTTTTCAGATTTAACCTCTCTAAAAGGTTCCTCGACATTTATTAAGTACTCTACTGCAATGCTACTTTATATATAGCTTTTTCTATTCCCTTTTCTTCAATTTGCTTTGTTTCGACTCTGCGTGCTTCGTCAAAAGTTGTTTCAGTCATTTTTTTTGTCTTTTTTTAAATTTTCTTTTAACTTTTGCAGGAAGGGTTTAATAAATCTGATCATCAACTAAATCAATTAATTGCGTTTCAGCTGTAGGTGTGCATCTTTCTCCTGGTACGTGAAACCCTTTACCTTTTTTGAAAATAAAATTATTTTCCAAAAAATATATGTGCAATTCTCTGGCCAGTAGTTTTCGATAGTGTGTGGTAGATGTTTTACAGTTTTTGAGAGTTAAATTCTAAAATGCCATTTTCTATCTTTATACTTGGTTCAAAATCGTAATTTAAATGCTTATTTGAAATGATTTTTTCAAAATGTGGTTGAATCTTCTCAATAATTTCTTCGTCTTTTATAATAGGATCGCATTTAACAGTTATAAGGAAACCATAATCTTTTTTTTTTTTAATAATATAGCCCTTTTTGCAATTAGACACGGCAATTTCTGATTTAGTCATTGTATTTGCATCATTTATTGTTTTAAAAACGACTATCCATTTTCCATCTTTGTTAAATGAAAGGTTTTCAAGTTACCTTTATTTATTTTTTCGTATATTCTACCAATAATTTCTTTAGCTCTTTTTTTTATATATAGAGGGTTAAATTTATTCTTTGATTTGCTTAAAACAATCAAACTAAAGATTTCTAACACAAATACTCTTCAAACTCATATTATGGTTGATGTTAAGTAACACCACCCTTTTTGTAACCAAAATTTTGTTATGATATGGTAAAACGTCACCTTGTATATTGGATATTGAATATATAAAAGATATTAAATCCAGAAGGTTTTTAAAAATTTAATCCAGAATCCAGAAAGTTTTTTAAAATTTTAATCCAGGTTTTTTAAAATTGTATTCCAAGAAAAACATTTTTTATTTTTAATCGTGCGAAACATTTACTTCAAGCTTGATTAATACTGTTATTGTCAAATAAAATTTGAGTTTTTAATAACTGACTTGCTTCATTTTAATCATATTGTGGACTTATGAACTCTAATATCTAAGACATTAGAGATCTAATTAAGTTTATAAAATACAAATAAACTAATAGGTACTTCATTAAAAATCAGAAAATGAAGTACTTTGATAGTTAAAAGAACCTCAGAGTCATCACCCATATTATGATTCTGAACTGCTATCACGTTTCTATACTCCTTAGATTTGCTTTTATTTAATACAGAAGCAAATTATATTTAATTCGTCTTCAAACTTCCAAATATTCTTAAAACTAATCTGTTAAAAAGACTTTATTATTCTTGCTGTGTGTCAAGGTCATACCAATGAATTAGGACTCGATTTAGTTTATTTGTTATTCTGTCTTTACTTTCAAGTAATCGCATAAAACATAAGTCGCTAATCCAAGTAAATCCATAAAAAAAGTTATTGTAATAATCTTTAACATCATGCCCCGTCTCCTCAATACCATCCCTGAGTTCTTTACAAACAACAAAGTTTAGTCTTGAATAAATAATTAGATTTTTATTTAAACGAAATACTCATTCAAGAGTAATCAGCAGTTTTTTAAAAAGATTAATAGTTTATCTTTCACCAGCGTCAATATTGAAGTTTTGTTTTGACATTAAAGTGTTATTTTACGGTGTTTTAAATTAATTAAAGTACAAATTTTATTTCTTTGTCAACTTTGTTTCAGAACCGTTTTCTATTAAAGAAGAAAAAAGTATTCAAAGAGGTGTATTAATAACAACATTCAAATCTGTACCTAAAGAATATGAAATAGCATTTGACTTAAAACTAACTTCGTTCATTACCTATACATGTGCAAACATTTTACAATTTACCATCAGTAGTGATTATTCAAATTATGGCGACAGATGTCCAGCTGCTTTTGTTTGTAAACACTTATTTGTTGGCGTTCAAATTTGTGGATCAGTTAATGGCCGAATTTGTTATGCGGTGATCTCGAAATATATAAACTTATTAGATTGGACAAGGTTTGTTATAAGTCAACGAAAATTTAATGGATCTTACAATTATTCCGTTCAAGTTAATGGAGAAATTATGAACACAGTGGAAAATAAAGACGCTAGAGATTTTAAAAATGTCAAACTATATATTAGCAGTCCTTGGGTTATTGCACAACCTGGATTTATAAGAAACATGACAGTAACAAATATGTGTACAAGTAAGTAAAGAATATATACAAGTAAGAAATTTTTTTTCCTCATATTATAAACAAGTTAAATTTTTAAAAAACTTTAAACTAAGTTCTAACCAAAGCTAATATTCTAAGACTGAATAATAACTTGTTTTTGATTAAACCATATTTCAGCACTGTAAAGAATCAAGTGTATTCAAGGGGGATGAGTTAAAAATAAAATTATCAATCGGAAATGCTCGTTTATTAAACACAATTCTCTATCAAGCTCTAGCTGAAAGAGCTATTTGAGTAACATTCTAAATCAATCAATAGATATTATTTTTAAAATCTAAATATTCCATTTATAAACAAATAATTGTGTTACATTTTATTTGATCAAAATGTGACAAAACCATGTAAACCAGTTTATGAAATTTAAAACTTGGAAACTGGTATGCAGAACTCAAATAAAAACATGTTTAACTTTACTTTTTTTGTTGTTGAGAAAACACCATATTTTCATATGATTTAAATACTGTCAAGTAATATTTTTCATGCAAACAATAATTAATGCAAACATATTTTTTACTTATTTTTAAAACATAGTTATCGATAAAAAAACTTATATTTCGATTTTCGTATAATCTTTTAAAAAATATCGAATAGCTAAAATAATTTCGAAAAGTAATTAATATAAAAAAGTTAAAAAATATAAAAAAATACATAAAAAAGGAAAGTTATTTGCCAAAGTAAATCATAAAAAAGTTATTTAGATGTGACTTATATAGATAACAATTATTTTTTAACTTTAATACATCTTATCGGGTGGACAATTAAAAATCCAGTCAATTAAATTGAGATTTCTCTAAAACCTCAAATGCTTTTTATTTCTTTTATTTTTTAAAATTAAACATTACTTCATTAGTTTTAATTATATTCATAAAATTTTTAATATATATATATATATATATATATATATATATATATATATATATATATATATATGTATACATATATATATAATTATATATATATATATATATATATAGTATATATATATATATATATATATATATATATATATAAATATATATATATATATATATATATACATAGTATATATATATATATAGTATATACATATATATATATATATACATATATAAATATATATATATATATATATATATATATATATATATATATATATATATATATATATATATATATATATATATATATATATATATATATATATATATATATATATATATATATATATATATATATACAATATATATAAGGCCCCTGCTATGCTTAAATATTTTGAAAAAAATCAAAAAAGGGATTCAAGATTTGACTCAAAAAATCTCTATTTATTTTAATCAAATCAACCTGCTTTTATAAATAGCTTATAATGGAATTAGCTCAAGGTCATATCATTATAAACTTCACAAACTTGAGTAATAACATTATTAGAATGTTATTACTCTAATAACATGTAGTTGTCTTAGAAATTTCAAAAAAACATTTAATAAAAGTATTTTTTGAACTAAATTTGATTATGGTCATGCCTAGGTCAAATCTAAATGTTTTTAAAAAAATTTCATGAATTGTGAACAAAAATTCTCTTACAAGCTAACTGCCTCTGCCAAAAAATAATGACAATAACTTGATAAAATGCTTAGTTTCTCTATCTTATACTAAATATACCTTCGGTTATTCAATTTAATTTAATTGTAAAATATTTTTTATCAACGGAAAACCTTTACCATTGCTATCAGTAATGAATCCAGGATTTTTTGTGTTTGAGATTGCTAACTAACAGATATGGAGTACACATTTGTATGATTATACGTATGTATAATAATAATGCTTTGTAAAAAATTGAGATGATTGGAGGCTGGGAACAGAAAAGCCCTATATTTTTTTATTTTTTATTTTATTTGTCGTAAAATATTATTTACACTAAGATTTATAATATTATACGGGCAGGACTTCAAGAAGATTATAATGACCTTATCACGAAGCCCTTAACAAAAATTTTTTTCTTCAATAAAAACATCTATATACTGTATAAAATAAATATATATCATTTACTGCGATAGATCGTTATATCTACCATGACAATTGTTGTAACAATCGTTATAACGGTACTATCTGCTTTTAAGATAATCAAATGGCTTGTTTTTTTTTATTTTTGTGATTATTTCAAATACAATTTAATAATTTTCACTTTTTTATTTCGAATAGTCTTATCTTGATTTGAAATTGTTTCAGATCTGAGTATTCAATTTTTTTCTGAACAAAAATAGAGTTCACCCAACACTACTTTTGTAGATGTGCGATACATTTATATTACATATATATATATATATACATATATATATATATATATATATATATATATATATATATATATATATATATATATATATATATATATATAGTATATATATTATATATATATATATATATATATATATATATATATATATATATATATATATATATATATATATATATATATATATATATATATATATATATATATATATATATATATAGATATATATATATATATATATATATATATATATATATATATATATATATATATATATATATATATATATATATATAATATATATATATAT